AAGGGGTTAAATTCGTGGGCAAGGAGGGGAAAGAACCCAGGAGTCCTGGCTCCCAGCCCCCCTGCTCTGACCCACCAGCCCCCCACTCCCCTCCCAGTGCTGGGGAGAGAACCCAGGAGTCCTGGCTCCCAGCCCCCCTGCTCTGACCCACCAGCCCCCCACTCCCCTCCCAGTGCTGGGGAGAGAACCCAGGAGTCCTGGCTCCCAGCCCCACCCTGCTTTAACCCACCAGCCCGCACCTCCCTCCCAGAGCCGGGGAGAGAACCCAGGAGTCCTGGGCTGAAAGGCTGGGGGAGAAAGGATCAGAGCCAAAGACAGAAGTAAGATACATCTGCACAGGCCTTATGGGGAGCCGGGAGAAAGAGGGAGCGAGACAGGGGCTAATGAAGGAGAAAAGTCTGTCGCAGGAGCTGGGCAGCAGGGACACAAAGTTTTCAAAGGCAAAAAAAATGTTTGCTTGGCGGAACAAACCCCGAGGAAGAAAGAGCGGGAGGCAGAGAAAGACAAGCGTGGAAGAGGGTGGGTGGTGGGTTGTTGTTTTCTTTCTTTTTTTCTTGTTTTCCTTCACTTTTCTTTCCAGGCCTGTTGTCTCTTTCAACAGGCTGCTTTCACGCTCTGCTTCTTTTCTGCAGCAGATCTTGCGCGAAAGAAAGAAAGAAAGAAAGAAAGAAAGAAAGAAAGAAAGAAAGTACTTTGCCAAACCCACTTTTTGTTAGTGTAAAAAACGCAGTCAATCAAAACTCAGGAAAGAGGTGGGCAGACGGGGCATGTGGGACAAGAACCCAGTAGTCCTGGCTCTCAGCCCCCCCTGCTCTGACCCACCAGCCCCCACTCCGCTCCCAGAGCCGGGGAGAGAACCCAGGCGTCCTGGCTCCCAAAGACACAGAAACCTACTAAATCCCCCCAATTTTCACGCACCTTCCACCGCCTGAGTGAGGGGAATCCAGAGACAAAGAAGCCAAACCTCCATGGTTGGGGTCAGTCCCGAATTCCTTGGCGGGGGAAAGCTGCTATCGCGAAATCCTGATCAACCAACGGGGAGTGTGTGTGGTGGGGGGGGAGTAAATTCCCAATCGGGGAAACTTTACTCCAGAAAAATAATCTTTTGCCTGGAAAAATGGCACCCCAAACCGCCTTGATCTGGGACAAGTGAATCCCCCGGATTTTCCTCTCTCTGGAAGGACTCTGCTACCCCCAGATAGCCTGAAAATTCGACCCACCAGAATATTTACATCCTAATAAATGACCAAGTCTGGAAAAGATTAACCTGTGAATAAATTTCTGGCATGGAAAAATCAACTCCCTCCCTCCACAATTTTTTTCTAATCTAGAGGAAATTCTCCCTAGGCTAACAAGCAAATGAACCCCCCAAAATGTCCCTAATCTGGAAAAACCAAGCCCCCAAGTGCCTTTTGTCGAGCACAAAATGGACACCCCATTTTCCCCTAATGTAGGGGACAATCACTTTTTTCCCCAGTCTACAAAAATGGAAACCCCAAAATGTCTCCTAAACTCCAAAACTTTTAATGCTCCATTTTTGCCCGGTCTAGAAAGTTTTAACTCCTCACATTTGTCTCACTTCTTCAGATGCATCTGAAGAAGTGAGGTTTTTACTCACGAAAGCTTATGCCCAAATAAATCTGTTAGTCTTTAAGGTGCCACCAGACTCCTTGTTGTTTTTGTAGATACAGACTAACACGGCTACCCCCTGATACTTGACACATTTGTCTGACTCCCTGATTCCAACTCTCGAAAAAGGAAACCCTGCTTTTCCCCGCCCCAATCTAAAAAAAAAAATCCAGAAATCACCCAGATCCAGAAAAATAAACCCAGATTTCTCCCCAATCTAGAAACAATTAAATCCTGATTTCATCCCCATCCAGAAAAAACAAACCCAGATTTTGCCCCGATCCAGAAAAAATAAACCCAGAAATCACCTGATCCAGAAAAATTAAACCTAGATTTCCTCCGAATCTAGAAAAAAAATTAACCCAGAATTCACCCTGATCCAGAAAAATTATTAAACCCAGATTTCGCCCTGATCCAGAAAAATTAAACCCGGATTTCTTCCTGATCCAGAAAAATTAAACCTAGATTTATCTGCAATCTAGAAAAAGTTAAACCCAGATTTCATCCCAGTCCAGAAACAATAAACCAAGATTTTGCCCCGATCCAGAAAAAAATAATTTAGATTTCTCCCCAATCTAGGAAAAATAAACCCAGATTTCTTCCCAATCTAGAAAAAAAATACATCCAGATTTTGCCCTGATCCAAGAAAATTAAACCCGGATTTCTTCCTGATCCAGAAAAATTAAACTGAGATTTCTTCTCATCTAGAAATATTATTAAACCCAGTTCTCACCCCAAGGTATAAAAATAACCCAGATTTCTCCCCAGTCAAGGGGGGTGGGAACAAACCCAGATTTGCCTCACAATCTAGAAAAAATAATCTCAAAAATAAGTTTCTTGTCTGGGGCGGGAACCAAGTTTCCCTACAAACGTGGACTCTAGCAAATCAATGGAGCCAAACTCCGTAGGGCTAGAAAAACTGGATTCTCCAAAACTTTCCGGCCCTGGCAAAAAGTTGGTTCTGGAGAAATTCCTGAGCCGGGATCCCCTAAAAAAGTCCGGCGTCTCGGCGCTCCCGAAAAGTCTTAGGTCTGGAGCAGTGGGTCCGGAAACCTCTCGAGTCGGGGACCCCCGGCAAAGGGCCCGTCTCTGGAATAGCTGGTCCCGAAACAATCCCGAAACAATGGGCGAGTCCAGAAAACCGAAGCGGCCCGGCCGGACTAGACGCGCTCCCACGAGCCGGTCCTGAGTGGGGTGAAGAGGCCTGGCCCCGTGGACAAAGGAAGCCCAGGAACTGCAGACATTGGAGGGGAGGGGGAACCCCAAGATTTTTGGAAGCAGCTGGAAAAAGAGGGAAAGAAAAAAAAACAACTAGTATCCAGGCAGGGGGAAGGCATCTGCACTTGGTTTGGGAGCCTGCCCCCCTTCCAGCTCTTTGCAAGAAGCACCCCCTATTTCCTCCCTGGTCCCCCCAAATCTGCAGCCCCCCCAAACGTTTGCAAAACTAAGCCAAGCCGGAGCCAGGCGTCAGCAGACTAAGCAATTGCTCAGGGCCCCGTGCAGCTCAAGCGGGACCCCAATATTTGGGGCCCCCCAAAATATATAGGGACCCCCAAAATGGGCTAGCACTGCCTTGGCCGGTGAGCCCCCCTTTCCCTCACACCTGGCCCACCTGGCTTTTGAAGATGTGCCCCCGAAAAGCTTTGCCCAGTCCCCCAAAGTGGCTCCCTCAAAGGGGCCCCCCAATCTTTCTGAGAAACCCCCCGAAACTCTTGGCCGAGCTGTAGTCTCCCCTCCCCCCGGAAATCCCGCCCACCAACGCTGCACCCCTAAGCCTCGGCAAAAATCCCCCCAACCTTTGCAACCCCCCAAAGCCTCCAGGGGGACCCCTGGATCTTTGCGAGAAGCCGCCCCCCCAAAACTACTTTCCGCAAACTCTTTGCAATAAGTTTCACACACACACACACACACACACACACACCGGATCTGCGCACAACTCAGCCCCACCCCCAAAATCTTAGGGGCCCCCCAGAATGAGTCTTCGCCCTGGCCGACAGCACCCGGACATCCTGGCTGGGGGGGACCCCAAAGCTTTGCAAACCCGCCCCCCAGCCGCAAGTCGCTGCCCCGGGACCCTGTCCTGAGCTCCCGGGTGCAGAGCGGTGGGGGTGAAAAATCCCCCCCAGGCCCCCCACTTTCACTCCCGCCCTGGGGATCCCCCCAACCCCCCGCGCAGCCCCCCAGTTCCCCCCGCTCACCCCGGGCTGCGGCTCGCAACTTTCTGAGCCCGCTGCGGGAGGGAGGGGAGGGGTCTGCGGGAGGGGCGGGGTGTGGGGGGTGTTTACACAATGGGGGGGGACAAGGGGGGGCGTAGGGCTCGTGTCTGTGTGTGTGTGTGTGTGTGTGTGTGTGTGTGTGTGTGTGTGTGTGTGTAGGGGGGGTGGGGGAGGGTGTG